CACACACACACACACACACACACACACACACACACACACACACACACACACACACACACGCACACACACACACACACACACGACACTAAGCCTTTGCACACACACTCAGTCCGAGGTATCACCCTCGTCTTCGTCCAACTGCTTGCTGCAGTTGTCGAATTAGGGGTCATCGTCAACAATTTTTCTGCGAGGCTTGCGCCGCTGTTTTTTTTTTTTTCGGCTTCGCAGTCGAACCGGCGGTCGTGTTCTTCTGAGGCCTGCCACGTGGAAGCTTAGGCTTCCCCTGTTCGTCTTCACGTGGTGCCTTCCTCTTCCTCCCAACCCTGCTGACCCACACGTTGTCATGTTGGGCTTCCACATTGTTGGCTGGGAAGTCGGGGGAATTCTCTGGTGACCCAGCTGCCTCGGCAGTTAGCTTCCGACGCTTGTACACGGTCATCGGTGCATTCTTCTCCTCCTCCTTCTCGCTGTTCTCCATCATTTCCAGCTGCTGCTCCTTCCCACTCTCCTCTAGGTCCTCTTCTTGTTGTTCCACGCCCTCCCCGTCATCCTCGTTCATCTCCTCCTCTCGCTGGTCCATGCCATCATCTTCTTCCTCCTCTTGCGTGTCCATGTTTTCTTCTTCCTACGCTGGCTGGCCAATTTCCTGTTCTGCCTCCCCCTCTCGCTGGCCCAACACGTCTTCTTTGTCCTCTTCCAGCCAGCCCACACCCCCCACTGGCTGCGATTCTCGCTCTCCAACCCTCTTCTTCATTTTCTCCAACTCTCTGCGGGTCGGTATAGCTGCGCGTCGCCCCTCCTCCTCTCCCATTCTCCTATGCACCCGTTCTCGATCCGCATCAGCCCATGCCTTTGCACGGTCGGCGTCCTCCTCATTCGTATCGATTGGACGTGCGCGAAGCACCATCTCCATATCGGTGTTGGTCTACGGAGGTCAACATCCGATTAGATGTTGTACTGTCTTGCGGTGTTCGCCGGGCATTGAGAAGGTGTTGCGGGCGGCCGTTCTCGACGACGCTGTACGGTTGCCCTCCTCTCGTCATATGTGGTGCACGGGATTGGGGGTGGGAGTCCCAACTCGAAGTCATCGTCCGATGAGTCGTCAACCTCCTCTTCGCTGGACGCCTCCGACCATGGAGTATTCCCCTTCCACATCTCGTCGTCAAGGTCGCTATCGTCGGTTCGCTCCTCCTCCTCGTCCTCGTGTTCGAGGCTTTTCGGAATCCGGCCCTTTGGTATCTTCGTGAAGGCCCGTTCCCGCACCAGCTCCTCCTCCGTCTTGTCCTTCTCCTCCACGGGCTCATTCAAAGTAGAACCGTCGTCCGCCTCCGGCTCCGGCAAAGACTCGAAGAACTGCGCCCACAAATCGATATAACCGTTGTCCTTCACGTTCTTCCCCGACAGAAGTTGCATATTCCAATGAATATACACCAACTTCTCCAAGGTTGAAGGGTTCAACCTATTCCGCCGCTTAGAGTGGACCAAGTCCATCGAAGACCAATTCCGCTCCGTCGGAGTTCCCGTTCTCCACATGCCCATTACTTTGATTGCAATGGACTACAACTTTGGAACATCACCCCCATGAGTTTCCCACCACTCCGATGGCGAGATGAGGTGACAATCTGCGATAGCATCTTCTTCCCACATCTTCCGGTCCTTCCTCTGGGGGTTGTGCCCGGTGGATTTCGTGTGGAACTCTCGCTGATCACTTAGAATGATCACGTGGGCATCCGATTTCCATGGACCGCCGATCTACCGCTGTAAATAATTCAGCGCATTCTGCACAAGTGTGCTATCCCGATCCAACAACCACTTTGGCTCTCTCCGCCGCGGGTCCAAAAGAAAGGCCAAGGCGTGCGGTCCCTCACCTTGTCCAGCACCGTGTCTTGCTGCTCCGTGGTTAGCACAACCTCCCCCAGCATCCTCTCCATGAGCCTGTCGTACTCCACAAGGTTTGACGGTGTAGTCCCATCCTTGTCCATCCTCTGAAGCAAGTTATACAACGGCTCCATCACCTCCACCACCTTCTTCAACTCCGACCACCAACTCTCCCTCCGCAACGTGAAAAACACAAGATCTGCTTTGGACTGCAGTTTGGTCGTCGACCACCGCATCGCCTTCCATCTCCCAACCGTGCTCCCTTCGACCATCTGCTTCAATACTGCCCTCTGATCGTACAACCGCTCCATCATCATGTACACTGACCCAAAACGGACCTCCGTCAGCCGCGTCAGCGACAATGAGTCGTCCAACGACATCATTAGACTATGCGTGCAATGGTGGTTTCGTATGAACTTCACAATGGCGTGGCTCCGCTTGACTGTGCCCTTTATGCAATCCAACTTGCTGATGTCTCGGAGCAGCAAGGAGCAGCAGTGCACAGCGCACGGAACCCAAGGTATCCGTGAAACTGCCGGGTCTGTGCGCCGCTCCAAAATTTGTGCGGCCTTCTTGTTGACCTCCGCATTGTCTGTGCAAATTGCGTTGATGCGTTGCAGCCCGATCTCCCTCATAATCTTTTCCCAAAGTCTGGCCAGCGCTGGCCCGGTCTTCTTTTTTCATCCATCGACACCGTCGCCACTAGGACCGCTCCCTGCTCCCCCGCCGCCAAGAAGTTCATGACAGGCCTTTCCCTCCGATCTTTCGACCCGTCCATGATGAAAGTGCAGCCCGTGACATCCCAGCATGCAGTCAGAGGCTGCACTTGCTTTTGAATGCGCAGAAAGATGAAGTTGAGCATCACCGTCCGGATGTCCTTCGCTGAAGGCAATTTCACCTTCGGTCGTGCGGTGGCCACCTCCAAGTACACCTCGTGGAGTTTCATAGTAGTGTTGAAGTTCAGGAAACTGAACGCAATTCCCGCCCGGAACATTGCCTCCGCCCATGTGATGTCCAATTTTTGTTGGGCTGCGTTGTCCACCCATCTCCTGATGGTCATTTGCCGCTTAGCAGTCGGCCTTGTAGTCGAATCACACTCATCTCGTACCGCCTCCCCCGATGCACTTTCCTTTCCCCGCTCCACCGTATCCTCGACCGGCTCCCTCCCTGCGGGAACCGGCAATTCCGACTCCTCGTAAGCACGACGAACCACCGCGTCACCATCACCAGCTTTTGCTTGCCCCCCCCCCTCCGAGATGTTGTTCAGTTGCCGGTAATTCTGCAGCAAGTAGCGAGTTTTCTTGTCTGACGGCAACACCTTCGCCCCCTCGGCCACCAGCATATGCAACATCTCCCCCGTACGAAAAGGGCACGACTTGAGCACCTTCATGAAATGCTCGACTGCTCGTGTGCGTGTGCCCCTCCAGATGGTCGAGCATAGCCGACACTTCAGCCAATACTCTCCCCGGCCCTTCGGCACAGCCTCTTGCCCTTGTTCGACGTGCTTCCATACCTCTTTCTCGCCCTGCTGCTTCTTTTGCCTCGCTTCATCCTGCGGGACGAACAACGAGGGGTCGCTGGCCGGTGTGGGTTCTTTACAAGTCACCCCCTATGAAGGTGTGCTCAAGCTGGCGATATTCTTCTTGCTCCCCTCCCCTTTCCAACCGTCTCCTACTTCCTTCTCCACCAATCGCATCCTTTCCTCTGCTCCCACCAGCCATGGCGCTCCAACAAACTCCTACCTGCACCTGCATTTCTCGCCCGACACCTCCAATTACAAGAAGGAGAAGAAGAAGAAGAAGAAGAAGAAGAAGAAGAAGAAGAAGAAGAAGAAGAAGAAGAAGAAGAAGAAGAAGGACGAGGAGGAGGAAGAAGGAGGAGGAGGAAGAAGGACGGAGAAGGAGGAAGAAGAAGGAAGAAGGAGGAAGGACAAGGAAAAAGAATGATGAAGGAGGAGGAGGAAGAAGGGGTGGATGGCGAGATGGGATGGAGGGATGGATGGCCAGATGTGATGGAAGAAGGAGGAAGAAGGAGGAGGAAGAAGGAGGAGGAAGAAGGAGGAGGAAGATGGAGGAAGAACGAGGAGGACGAAGAAGAAGGACGAAGAAGGAGGCGGAAGGAGGACGAAGAAGAAGGATGAAGGTGGAGGAGGAAGAAGGGATGGATGTCAAGATGTGATGGAAGAAGGAGGAAGAAGGAGGAGGAAGAAGGAGGAAGAAGATGGAGGAAGAAGGAGGAGGAGGAAGAAGGAGGAAGAAGAAGAAGGAAGAAGAAAAAGGAAGTAGAAGGAGGAGGAAGAGGACGAAGAAGAAGGATGAAGGAGGAGGAGGAAGAAGGGATGGATGGCGAGATGGGATGGTGGGATGGATGGTGAGATGGGATGGTGGGATGGATGGCGAGATGTGACGAAAGAAGGAGGAAGAAGGGGGAGGAAGAACAAGGAGGAAGAAGGGGGAGGAAGAACAAGGAGGAAGGAGGAGGAAGAAGGGGGGGGAAGAAGAAGGAGGAAGAAGGAGGAGGAAGAAGGAGGAGGAGGAAGGAGGAAGAAGAAGAAGGAAGAAGGAGGAAGGAGGAGGAAGAAGGAGCAAGGAGGAGGAGGGCGAAGGGGTGGATGGCAAGATGGGATGGTGGGATGGGTGGCGAGATGGGATGGCGGGATGGATGGCGAGATGCGATGGAAGAGAAAGGAGGAGGAAGGAGGAGGAAGGAGGAGGAAGAAGAAGGAGGAAGAAGAAGGAGGAAGAAGGAGGAAGAAGGAGGAGGAAGAAGAAGGACGAAGGAGGAGGAAGAAGGGATGCATGGCGAGATGGGATGGATGGATGGCAAGATGTGATGGAAGAAGGAAGAAGAAGTAGGCAGAAGAAGGAGGAGAAAGGAGGAGGACGATGAAGGAGGAAGAAGAAGAAGAAGAAGAAGAGGAGGCGGGGGGGGGGCGGAGGAGGATGACATTTGTTTGTTTGTTTTTTCGATCGCCGTTCGCGACAACTGCGTAAGGTCGCCGAAGATGTGCCCTGCCCCAAACAGCCAAAAGGCCGAAGAAGCTAAAGATCGTCGTGAACTCCCGAAGGTCGACTGATGCAAGAAGAAGAAGAAGAAGAAGAAGAAGAAGAAGAAGAAGAAGAAGAGGAAGGGGGGAAAAAGGGGAAGACGAAGAAGAAGAAGAAAAATTGTGGGGGAGGAAGAAGAAGAAGAAGAAGTAGAAGAGAAGAGGAGAGGAGGAGGGGGAGGAGGACGACCTTTTATTTTTTTTTCCATTCGCCGTTCGCGACACCTGCCTAAGGTCACCGAAGATGTGCCCTGCCCCAAACAGCCAAAAGGCCGAAGAAGATAAAGATCGCCATTAACTGCCGAAGGTCGACTGATGCAAGAAGAAGAAGAAGAAGAAGAAGAAGAAGAAGAAGAAGAAGAAGAAGAAGAAGAAGAAGAAGAAAAGGAGGGGGGGACAAAGGGGAAGACGAAGAAGAAGAAGAAAGATTGTCGGGGAAGAAGAAGAAGAAGAAGAAGACGAGGGGAAGGCTCGATGTGCCTGACGGCCACCCTTCCGTTTTTCTTACCTTCCGAGTTTAGTGTGACATAACCAACGTCCACAATACAGAAGACGAAGAAGAAGAAGAAGAAGAAGAAGAAGAAGAAGAAGAAGAAGAAGAAGAAGAAGAAGAAGAAGAAAAAGAAAAAAAAAAAGAAGAAGAAAAAGAAGAAGAATGGCGGCATCTCCTGCGAACGACGACGAGTGAAGGGGGCAGCTCTTGCAAACGGCGATGGGCGATGACGACCGGCCACAGCTGACGACGACGACGGGTGGCGGGCGAGGAAGAGGAGCTCCTGCGAACAGCGACGATGAATGACGGGCGAATGGGGCAGCTCCAGCGAACAGCAACGGGCGGCGGGTCGAAGGGGGCAGCTCTAGCGAACACCCACGGACGGGTTGTGGGCAAGATCTCCGCCAATCGAAATTGGGCGGGAAACTTGCGATGACTCTGTGGCCGTCGATCAAGGTGGATCGACGGCCACAGAGCCGCCGCAGTTTTGAAATGGGCTCCCACAGGCCTATCGGGCCCGATGCCACGGGTTTTCAGGCCAGGCGGACCCGGTAGGCCTGCGGGAGCCCACCACCGCTCGAAATGGGGTTTGAAAACCCCGAAATGCCCTGTGCGCTGGGGGGGCCCGGGGACCGACCGGGTGCACTGCCCGGCAAGGCCGCCTAGGATCCCACCCGGGCCCCGGCCGGTCCGTCGGGCGGCCCGGAACCCCACCCAGGTTACTAGTGCTTGTACTAGTAGTGCCAATATTTTACACCGCTAGATCCTGATCTTGATGGTACATCTTGCTTTGTTTATCCATCCTCATTTTGACCCATAGTTTCCTTGGGACAACTCAAGTCTCTGTCACTTATCCCACATTAGTCTTATCTCCTAGTCCCACCGGGTTAGGTTCCAATTTTTTATTTTTTTTATTTGGACTTGTTTAGTCCTCGACATCATTCCATGTGGCCTCATTTTTATTTGAGACTCCCTAGTTCCCGTCAGTTCCAATTTCCTTCTTCCCATGTGTTTCAAGTGTGCCGAATATTTTCGATTGCTAGATCTCCATCTCACGATTGTCATTTACCGTCACCATTTGCTCTCATGCTTGAGACACAATTTTCTAACGTCTTGAGAATGTCAAGGATCATTTCCCCTTATCCTAACACTCCCTTGCGATCCGTTAATTTTTGGAGTGCAACAATGGTCATTTTCTTAGCCTCATTGCCCGCGAACTTGCCCTAAACTAAAACAAAATGAGGCGGCACATTTCCAAGTGCATCTAGACTCAATATTGGCTCCGAATGTACTTGAAACATGTGTTTGCTTTACTTTGAGTGGGCTGTTCCATCACGGCCCACTTCCTTTTTTATTTTTCTTGATTTTCTGTATGAAAATCGAGAAAAACTAAGGCATTTTGCAACCGTTTCATCCAAGAATAAGTTCAGTCACAAAATGTACATAGAACATATGTTTTATTTTCCCCTATCCGTTTTTGTCTGTTTGTGAACTGGCAGCTTCTAGGAACTTTAGTTTTGGGTTCATTGTATTTCAACTCCATTTTTCCCAAACCTTTGTGCCCAATTTACCCCCGGGCAGGGTTGTCGACGTTCGAGACGGGCCGAACGGTCGAACCCGAACGCCCAAACGTTCAGCACCCCCTCTCGACGCGTTCGGGCGTTTGGTCGAACACGAACCAAAAATAAAAATAAAATAATAATAATAATAATAATAAAATTATCCATAAGAATAAACTAAACAACATTGGTCTCAATGTTCCATCCAAATTCTTTACCAAATTTGAAATAAAAATCAAATACTAAAAGTAAATAATAATAATAAAAATTAGAAAAAATAAAACGAGAATCAGGGTTGCCGGCGCTTAGGACGGGTGGAACGCCCGAACCCGAAGGCCCGAACATACGGGACCCCTTTGGAAGGCGTTCGGCCGTTCAGGCCGAACGCGGACCAAAAAAAAAAAAAAAGCCACTTGTCAAAAAATTCCGAAAAACAAAAATGTTATGGAGAAAAATAAACAAAACAATATTTGCCCGGGCACTACATCCAAATTCTTTACCGAATTGAAATTAAAAATCAAATACAAAAAATAAACACTATAATAAAAATAAGAAAAAATAAAAAGAGAATTAAAATGAGTGAGTGTGCAAGCACCTTTTCGGCACCGCCATCTCTACCGATTTTTAATTATTTTTTGGCATTGAAAAATGCCCTGAAAATTTACAGATATGTAGTTTACATAATCAAAATTTCATTAAAAAGTTTTCAAAAAATAATAAAATTTTTTAAGCCCCGAAATAGTGTGAAAACAAAAAGTTAAAAGTGAAAAAAAACAAAATAGTGAGTGGGCGAGCACATTTTGACACCCTATCTTTGACAATTTGTAATGTTTTGTTGGCTTAGCAGAATGGATTCAAAATTTATAGGCGTGTAGGTTACATCGTAAAGAACTCACAAAAACAAATTCAGAAACAAAAAGTTCTTTTTAGGCCCTGAAAAGTTTTTTGGCGGGGGCCGAACCTGGAGGTGTTCGGACCCCGAATGGGACCCCGAACGCCCGAACGTTCGGGGGCCAGCCCGAGGCCCCTCGAGCGTTCGGTCAGGTAACCCTGACGAGAATGAAATTATTGAGTGGGCGAACACTTTTTGGACACCCATCTTTGGTGATTTTTCTTTTTTTTTTAGTTGTGACAAATGCCATGAAAATTTATATATGTGTATCTTACATAATAGAGAACATACAAATAAAGTTTGAAAAAATAATATATTTTTTCATGCCCCGAAATAAAGGTAAAACAAAAAGTGAAAAGAAAAAACAAACAAACTAGTGAGTGGGCAAGCAAGTTTTGACACCACCATCTTTGCCAATTTTTCATATTGTTTTGGTTAAACAGAA